AAAGGGATTAAAGAGTGCCATTCTCTCAGCATGTGCCGAGTCCATTGGCTAGGTCACCCGCCATCATCAAGATTGGTTTGATGAGAATGATGCTGAGATTCAGGGCCTGCTTGACCAGAAAATAAAAGCTCATCACAATGTGGCAAAACAACATATCACACCAGCAAAAGAAAGTTGTATAAGTAACTCCAGGCTGAAGCCCAAAGGAAAATCCATGACATCAAAAATAAGTTGTGGTGAGAAAAGGCCAAGGAGATTGAGCTTTATGCTGATAAACATGACATGAAGAGTTTCTTTCAGGCAATAAGGTCCATTTATGGCCCATGATCCCATGGACCCACACCACTCGGAGCCCAAGTTGGGTCAACATATTTTAAGGACAGCGAAGCCAAAGCCAGATGGAAAGAGCATTTTGAGTTACTCCTGAACTGTGAGTCAACTGTCTCTGATGCCAATATCGAATCTATAGCTCAAAGACATGAAAGAGAATCTCTTGCTGATTCTCCCCTCCTCCCCCCACACCCTCGAAGAAATAACACGAGACATTATGCAAACTAAAAACAACAAGGCAGCAGGGCCAGATGGCATACCAGCTGAAGTCTACAAATTTGGAGGTGAAGAACTGGTAGGGAAGCTCCACAAACTTTTTCCTCATATCTGGTAAAATGAGAAGATTCCAAAAGACTTGAGAAACGCTAACATTGTTACAATCTTTAAGAAAGGAGATAAGTCGGAGTGTGGAAACTATTGAGCCATTGCCTTGCTATCTACAGCAGGGAAAATTCTTGCCCATATCCTCTTACACCAATTACTTCCCATTGCTGAGGAAATATTGCTGGAATCTCAGTGCGGTTTTAGACCATCCCACGGGACAACCAATGTTGCACACCAAATCCAGGAAAAAATCTCCAAAGCAAAATCATGACCTGTACGTGGCTTTCATCGATTTGACAAAGCCCCGTGGAAGGTGCTGGCCAGATTTGGCTGCCCTCCAAAATTTATTACTGTCCTAAGGCTTCTCCATGATCAGATGACTGCCACTGTTCTCTGTAATGACCCGAGATGGAACCTTTTGTCATCAAAACTGGGGTTAACCAAGGATGTGTTGTTGCCCCAACCCTGTTTTCCATTCATTTAGCAGTCATTTTGGTCCTTGTTAAAGATCACCTCCCCATTGGAGTTGACATTTAATATAGAATGGATGAGCGTCTCTTTAATCTTCAACATCTCTGCTCAAAGTCTAAAGAGTCTTCGGGGCATCCATTACTGACCTTCAGTCTGCTGATGACTATCATCCTCGCACACACGGAAAATGACCTTCAGACCATACTGGATTTTCTTGCACATGCTTACCGAAGCCTAGGACTCTCACTCAATATTGAGAAGTCTAAAGTGTTCTATCAACCTGCTTCAGGCCTTACACATGACCCACCACAAATCACCAGTTAGGGTCAGACTTTGGAGACAGTTGAGCACTTCTGCTACCTCGGTAGCCAACTTTCCCAAATTGCAAAAATTGACAGTGAGATCCAGCACAGGATCCAGTGTGCAAGTGCTTTCTTTGGGAAATTGCTCTGATACGTTTTCATGGACTGTGACCTGAGGCAGGACACCAAGATCCAGGTCTATATTACAGTTGTTGTTCCTGCACTCCTCTATGGATGTGAAACCTGGGTGACCTATCGACAGCACCTCAAGAGTTTAGAAAGATATCCCCAGTGATGTCTCCAGAAGATCCTTCACGTCAAGTGGCAAGATTGCTGCACTAACACCAGCATCCTCCCTGAAGCGAATGTCACCAGCATTGAAGCAATGATCCTCATGCACCAACTTCACTGAAGTGAACATTGTGTGCGGATGCCAGACTCTCGCCTCCCAAAACAAGTCCTCTACTCTCAGCTCACCCATGGTCAGAGGAAACGCTAAAAAGACACACTGAAAGCGTATCTTAAGAAAACTGATGTGGACATCACAAGCTGGGAAGAGCAAGCCACCAACCGACCCCAATGGCACCTCCATCAGGCAGTGGCCGACCCCAATATCCTCCATCAGGCAGTGGCCTGCTTCGAGAAGTGCGTGGCCCTTGAAGCTGAAAGGAGAGAGGGGAGGAAAGAAAAAATATAAACTTTCTCCCAGCAGGCCACTGGCCTGCCACAAAATGTCTGTACCTACTGTGGGTGGATTTGCTGTTCCAGGATCGGACTCCTGAGTCATCTCAGGACCCATATGAAAATCCATGGTAGAGATCATCCTCGAATCAAAGGATCGCCAATCATTTTTCCATTCTCCTTTAACTCAATAATTAAGTCTGACAAACAAAGAACTCCACATACTACAATCTTATAGGACCACTAAAGATTAGAATGCACAAGTCTGACATGTTAGACATGTATTAGCTGGCACATAAAAGCAGCGCAAATGTCCTGCTTATATATGGAACTGATTCAGTACTTTTTATTAAATTAAAATATATCAAAATTAAGTGTTTGGATAATAAATAGCATCTTTATATATTTGAGACATGTACCGATTTTGAAAATTCTTATTTACCCGAAAGAAACTTCTTAAGACAGTGATTCCCCAAAGCTTGGAGCATGCCAACTAGGTAAAGACTAGTTCCGGGGAACACTCTAATATCTCATTTGATCTCCAGAGTGGTGGTTTTCTTTATTTTAAATTCAGTCTTAGATTGCAAGGAAAATCTTCAAAATGTGAAGTAAGCTGTAACAGATATAAAATCATCTATCTGCCAGAATGTCTGAAACAATAGCTCTGTGGTGTGAACTGCCCATTTAAGTTGATGGCAATTCAGGTGCCCTGTTAATATTTTAAATACCAACACTTAACTATTTCATTGCTGAAACCATGCAAGAAAGGAGGAGGAAATACATGATGAAGACCTATATCAATGTTTCCCAAAGCGGATGGCAGACAGAAAATGTATAGCCCTTTCATACCATCATACAGTGAGATGGGATTGGTTTTATTTCCTGAAGCAGGGTGTCACTTTCAAGGGTTTGGGAAAGACTGGTTTAAGACATTACTCATGTAAATAGGTACATAGTAACTACACTGGGAGTATATCATCATACAAATGGTGCAAGAATCCATTTTAGCTTCATGCCGTGTCTTAATTATCTCCCACCTCACACCAGTCACATATTCACACTATTTTTAAGAGTGATTTTCCAGACCAACTCCCCCCTTCTCTGCATCCCACTCTCACCAACTCCCTAGCCCCTCAAAACTCCCAATTTTCTGAAGGTGAAGAGTACATTTCAATAACTTCAGGGTAAAAACCCTTAAGAGCTAGGAAATCCAGAGCTAGAATAAACCTCCAGTAACTGCAAACATTTGAAAAAACAACAAACAAACAAAATGAAATTCACAGGATATTTATTCCATAGACATTGGGCCCAGATGCTGCAAAGCCTTACGCACATGCTTAACTTTACACACTTTGAATAGTCCCACTGATATAAATAAAATTAAATGGTTGTACCAACTTTAGCTTTATTATCTCTATTACTGTAGTGCCTAAGAGCCCTATTCATGGACCAGGACACCAACTGTTACTGTCACTCCATAAAGCCTACTTTCCAAATTCCTGATTAAATGAAATAGGATAATATGGGCAGTCATTCCAACTGCTAAATAGGGACCTGATTCTTTGAGGTGCTCATCACTCTCTAGAAGGTCTTCCAGTTAGATCACAGTTCTGTAATATCAGACAATCTACAGGTCATACTTGGAGCTAGCGTGTACACAATGGGGATAGTAAACCAATGGTGATGCGCATTTTCAGCAGTTCACCTACAAACTGTACAAAGATAGTGACTGTTCAAAATTTGAGTCATGAACTGTGCACTCAAGTTAAAAAACAAACAAAAAAACAAAACAAAACAAGAGGGACAACCTCCTGATCCCAAAATACATCTTACAAAGCAGGCATTAAAGGACTAGAGGAAAAATGAAATGTTAATTGATATCACTAAAGGAGGTATAGTTAAGGTTTTGGGGTACTTTGTGAAATTCTGTACTTTCATATTTTTAGGTTTAAGTCATATCTTAATTCTATTCTAACCTCAAGCATAGGGATGTAGGTATCTTTTAGTTATGGTGAAAATTAGAATACAAAGCAGTAACTTAGTTATTTGTCTGGGTATAATTATAAAGCGAACCTACAGAAAATACTAACATTTTACATTTATAATCACAGCACGCATTTGCTTTCACAACTGTATGAAGGTGGATTAACTAGGAATAGAGAGTAGAGTCAACATGCCTCTAACAGTTACAAGAAGTTTCCCAACCGCTTCCCTACCCAACTAAGCACATAAGCACAAATAACTAAGTCAAATTTGACTCCAGACAAGTTCAGGGTTCCACCCATACAGAACTCAGGTGGTGGTTTAAGGCTCTGATACTCACATAAGTCCATGATAAAACTCACATTAGACATCAGTGGTACAGAACAAGGCCTAATTACTTTTGAGATCCAGGTATATGCATAACCTCAAGCACAGGGAACTGAATAGGTACTATAGTAAATGCAAAGTAGAGTTGACTGTATACTGAAATACTGGCATTAAGTATCTATTCTCAGCCTGTAGATACAGAGTAGTCATCTGGACATGAAGAGATAGATGAAATATGTGGAGATCTGCTTCCTAAGCAGTTTACTGGATATCTCACATTGAGAGTTGTGTCATTTTCAGTAGTAATTCACTTTACATTTATAATCACAGAACACTTTAAATCAGACACATTAACTTGCAGTTTAAAACAGCTGCATTTCAAAATTATAAAAATATTAAGTTATCTAGAACAGATTTTTCTTGAAAGTGCAAAGTTGCAGTGCTGTTTTACTTAATCTGATTTTAAATGTTTATTTTAGCTACTATAAAGTATTTCATAGCCATATTGTTCTATGTCTGTACACACGATTAAGCTAAAGCTTACTACATGAGATAATAGGCAATATCTGAAATATAGTATACCTATGGGATATAGCAGGTTTATGTCCATCTTTCAGACCTGGTATATCCTCATGAAGGTAAGCCAAACCTCTAGCCATAGTTTCGGCAATATGACACAGCTCATTCCAAGAAACCACATTTGCCTTGAGAAAGTCAGTTAATGAACCCTGTACAGCGGAGGGAAAAACAATTAAAGTAAATCTCAGTATTTCCCCTTAAGGAGAGATTTTCTTAATGATAAACTGTACCCAGAACACAGATACAAAGAATCATATCTGTTTCATAAACCTATATACATAGCATGCAGGATTACATATACAGTAGAACCTCAGAGTTACAAACTGACCAGTCAACCAAATACCTCTTTTGGAACCGAAAGTACACAGTCAGGCAGCAGCAGAGCCAAAAAACAAAAACAAAAAAACCTTCCCCCCCCCCGCTCCCCAAAACACAAATACGTACTGTGTTAAACTACTAAAAATAAGGTTTCAGAGTGGTAGCTGTGTTAGTCTGTATCAGCAAAAAGAACAAGGAGTACTTGTGGCACCTTAGAGACTAACAAATTTATTTGAGTATAAATAAATGTTAGTCTCTAAAGTGCCACGAGTACTCCTCGTTCTTTTTGCTAAAAAATAAGGGAAAGTATAAAAAAAGACTTGACAAGGTAAGAAAACTGTTTTGTGCTTGTTTCATTTAAATTAAGATGGTTAAAAGAAGCATTTTTCTTCTTCATAGTAAAGTTTCAAAGTTGTATTAAGTCAATGTTCAGTTGTAAAAACTTTTGAAATAACCATAATGTTTTGTTCAGAGTTACGAACATTTCAGAGTTATGAAAAACCTCATCCCCTAGGTGTTTGTAACGCTGAGGTTCTACTGTATAATCTGTTGGTATTTAGAAAAAAAGGTATAATTTCCAATCCAATTGGTCATCTCTTAACACAACAAACAAACACCTACAGGATATATCTATAGTTCATACAATAACCAAACACTTTAATAAAATTAAAAAGATGTGAAAATGTCTTCTTTGGCATTGACCCTCATTTATTAGAAGATTAAATAAATAGGAGTCAAATGTGAAAATTTTTAAACTAAAAAAGAATAGAGATGAAGGAAGACAATTTATAATAGATATTAAGAAACTATTCTGTAAAAGAACAGTCAAAGAAAAAAATTAGATATTACAAGTTAAACACACTGCTGGAGATAAATGCTGGAATTTCTTTGCTTTCAAAACAGGGTGATTCGATTTTCTGGGCACAAAGTCAAGAGTTTTGTGGATCCACCCCCAAGCATAATGTTGAATTATGTATGTACTTTCTCACAAGCATTACATTGATATTCAGAGCCCTTTTTTAGAGTGAGGGGATCTATGCGAGAGATCATTTCTTTACCTTTTCTCATATTATGAGCTAAAAGTCTAGTCAAATTATAAACGAGTTAAAAATATTTTCAGATACTACACTACTCTTGAATTCCCTGTGCCAACTTTTTGGGTTTTAAATATCACTTTTTAAAAACCAGAGAAGTGTCTGTGTCTCACCTGTGGCTGTGAGTAAAGCCCACACAAAAGGAGAAAATGGATTGATTGCTCAAGGGGAAAAAACGGTTACCTATCTTTCGTAACTGTTGTTCTTTGAGATGTGTTACTCATGTCCATTCTATTCTAGGAATGTGCGGGGTTTTGGGGTGGGCACTCACTCCTCTACCCCGACCTTTGAGTGCACTTTGTGCACCGAGCCTGGTGCCAATGGTGCAGTCAGCTGTTACTCTGAGGCTTCAGAGAGGGCATTGGCATCACAGACATGCCCCATGTACTCCAGTAGGGCCACTGTGCTGGCCAATGGCCATGTTGCGAAGCTCACATCACAGAGGTCGACACAGCCTTGAGTGCCCAATCACACTCGTGATGTCTCAACGAGGGGCTGAATTCCCTTTCCATGCTGGAGGAATCCTCTTCCCGTGACCACGGTGGGGCTGTCGATGCCTGCATCTGGCAACTAACCGTTGCTGCTAGAGACCAGCATTTTGAATAGGACCAGTACAGGGTGGTGGGACGAAGACTGTTCCCATGGTGCGGGGGATAGGGATCCGTGCCGATAAGACCAGCGGGAGGGTGAATGGTGCTGGGGATACAGTGACCAGCATCTCCCCCCGGGTGATCCACATCAAGAGGGCGGAGACCACGATCACAGTGCTAGTTATCTAGGAATACCTGCAGAGGACCTGGGTTGTGAAGCCGGAGATCTGCAGCGTGGAGACAGAGCGCTTTGTCTCGGCTCTGGGGATCAGCAGCTCCAGGACTGCGACCCCCATTGGGGGGCGGGGGACGGACAGGCCCATACGGCTCCAGTGTTGGCTGGCAGCCTAAACTGGGTCCTTTGCCCGATACCCCATGGCCTTTCTTGGACTTTTTTTGGGGCACTGGCAACAGAAAGTGATGCCAGGCAAAGCCTGGTGCTGGGGGTGCACTATGCACCAAGGCCGAAGTATTGGGGGTAGAGTCTAGCCGGGAAGGCTCGGAAGCCAGAGAGAAAGCAGACTCCATGAGGAGGGCCTTCAAATGGGTGATGTGCTCTTTCTGGTTCTTGGGTCAAAAGTTTTTACAGATGCGATGCTTGTCCCTCATATGCGATTCCCCCAAGCACTTCAGGCAGCTGCTATGGGGGTCACTAACAGGCATAGGACATTTACAGTCCGAGCAGGGCTTAAAACCTGGAGCATGCACAACTGGGGAGAAGTCCCCGCTGGGACTCTAACTTCTAACAACGCTACTTAACCACTACTCAAACACTAGTTACAGTAACTCCTCACTTAACGTCGTCCCATTGCTGATCAATTAGAGAGAATGCTCGTTTAAAGTTGGGCAATGCTCCCTTATAACGTTGTTTGGCAGCCACCTGCTTTGTCCACTGCTTGCAGGAAGAGTAGCCTGTTGGAGCTAGCGGGTGGGGGCTTGGAACCAGGGTCGACTGGCAGCCCCCTTAAGTTCCCTGTGTGGCAGCCGCCCAGCAGGCTATCAATTGCCTGGCAATTCAGCAGTCCCTCCCCCCACTGCCGTGTGCTGCTGCTCCTGCCCTCTGCCTTGGAGCTGCTCCTGGGAGCCTCCTGCTTGCTGTGGGGGGAGGAGGAGGGAAGAAGAGGTGCTAATGTCAAGGTGTCCCCCTCCCCACTCCTTTACCCCATCTCCACAGAGCTGGGGGGACGGGACACGACAAGGCTCAGGAAGGAGGTAGCTTGCTGGCAGCAGCTGCTGTCTCAACTTGCTAATCTACATAAAAAGTGAGTGTACTCAGAGTGGGGTCAGCGTACTTAAAGGGACAATGTGTGTCTCTCTCTCTCTCTCTCA